GTTTATCGTTATTTTTATTAATCGCAGCGCCTACGGAACGGGTTAATTTCTCGCATATTAACGATGAAACTATCCGAGATCTGAGCAAAATCAGAGATCATATCGAGACTAACATTGTTGGACATGACGGACTAGAACACGCGTTAATTGCTCAAAAACTCTCGATTCTGAATAACTATAATTAAAATTCGATATTATGTGAAGTTGTATGAATTTATATTTCAATAATTATACTGAAGAAACCGCGTGCGGTCGAAACGTTTGTAGAATGATTGTAATTTGCGTTAGTTTTAATATCTAATGACTGTAGTTTTATAATTTATACATGTAATAAATGGTAATTGACTGAACATCTCGAATATTCAGCTCGATAAGTTGGCCTTATATTTATCACTTTGTTTTCAATATACGAGCGACAATTTATTAATTTATTAAAATACAAAGTTAGTTAAATATTAAAATATAAAATTAAAACGATTCTTCGCTGTTGACCAATAGATGTGCAAGGCGATTGGTCTGAGATGCCAAGTTATGCGACATTTAAACATGCTGCGGATATATACGCGAATTAAATCAATGTCAGAGAAAATTAAAAAATCTTTCAACTTACATTATCGTTTTAACAAGTCCTTTTTCCCGATATTTCAAGTGTGTGTTGCGAAGTCTGAATAACAAATGTCGAAATAGAGAGCGTGATGTATTTATTTATTACCATGTTTTTTCTAAACTATGATTCAGCAAATTTTTTAAGTATGTCAAAATAACTACTGTCTAACAATTCGGTGTCTTTATTTAAATTAATTCCATTTTTCTGTTCTTTAATGTGGATCATTTCAGATATTAGCCTTTTATGGTAATTCTTTTCATGATCTATAATTTTAATATTGTCCCAGTCAAATGTATGTTGATTTAATTCGCGTATTATATCCGCAGCATGTTTAAATGTCGCATAACTTGGCATCTCAGACCAATCGCCTTGCACATCTATTGGTCAACAGCGAAGAATCGTTTTAATTTTATATTTTAATATTTAACTAACTTTGTATTTTTAACATTAACTTTGTATTTTAATATTTAACTTTTATGTATTGATAAAGACTGTAGTGCAGTCGAAACGTTTACAATTTATATCGTTTTTGTAACGGAATGTTAATTTAATTATTTAACTATTAATAAATTTTTACATCTTATTTATTTGCTCGTTCAGTTGACCTACTATATTTGATTTGTTTAATTTTGTTAATTTATACGAGCCTTTCATAATTAATTTTAATAAACGCTGGCCTTATAATGCGTGGGACTAATTACCCGTTCAAATACCATCGGTTTAATTCTAGTTTTATTTAAACTGTTTTGGTCTAGAAACGTTAAAACATTTTAAATCTTGGCTAAATTTTAATTATGCGATAATTAGAGCAATGTCGAAGTTGAAATTTTTAAGGGAATGTAAGAGATATTGTCTGTTTCCCAACCATTTGCGTAATTTCTGTAACAATAAATTTGTTTTCTACCACTATAAATCAAAAAATAGGATGCGTGGTTTGTTGCATAATGTCAGAACTGAAATTCTTAACAGAGATATTTGATTTACATAGAACATTAAACTCACTGAGTAAAAAACGGTCAAGGCAATTCCAAATTCTCCAAAATCTTTTACCATCTTATATCTGGCAGGAGATTTTAAATCACCATTGCAACTCCTTTTCTTTGTTCAACCAAAAATTATATCTCATACATAAGAAAAATTCCTATGGCTACGTAAATCGCATGAAACAGAGTACATTAAAAATATTGATCCTATCGAATTGAAACAACGGTATCATCGACAAATATTGTTGATAACACTGTTTCTGCCAACAGTTTTCGTTGTGCTACACATAATCCTTTACAACAAACTAACCAGAAATGGTTTATTAATTTAACTGATAAAAATATTCCCCCCAATGTAACCAATCTATTACAATTGGGAGGTGAATTTAGTCTCCCAGTTAACTTAAATAAAAAGTAGCTATACACGAATTCATCAAAGATATAGAAAGCAATTCTAACGGGATCAGAAATCGTACTTCGATTCGTAATGCTGCCATTCCACAATTTTCATTATTTTTAAACAAGAATGACAAAAAAACGGACATACAAGAAAAATTACTTCACATGCATAAAGACACAATTAAATTCTGCAATCAAAATTCTAATATTTTATTTACTAGAGCAGATAAAGGCAGCATTACAGTCGCATTAGAAAAAGAATTTTATATAAAAAAAGTTGAGAGTCTCCTAGAAGACGATTCTACGTATACCATAGTTAAAAACAATCCATCAACAAAATAGAAAAAGACCTCAATAATTGTCTAAAAAAATGGTTGAAAAAGATTTCCATCAAAAAAAGAATATTATTATTTATTTTCAAGCGACTCCCTTCTTCCTAAAGCCTATGGGCTCCCCAAGATCCACAAGGAAAATATTCTTTTAGATTAATAGTTTCCTCAATAAATACTTCTCTATATAATATTGCTTCCTTCTTTCATAAAATTTTAAAAGATAGCCTTCCTAGAGCTGACAGTTTTGTGAATAACAGTTTCGATATATGCAACATTCTATCAGGGAAAACACTACAAGATTCCGACATAATAGTTTCATTGGACGTTGTTTCATTATTTACTAATGTTTCCGTAGATCTTGCATTAAACGGTATCAATAATAGATGGCATTTTATAGAGTCACACACAAAGATTCCCAAAAATGAATTCATAGGTATGATAAAATTTATATTAACTTCTACATTTTTCACGTTCAATAACATAACTTACAAACAAATTTACGGGACTCCTATGGGTTCCCCACTTTCTCCGATCATTGCCGATATAGTCATGCAGGACTTGGAAACATTGGTAATTAGTAATTTAAATTGCGAAATGACTTTTTATTTCCGTTATGTAGACGACATTATTTTATGCACTTCCGCTGACAATATTACATATGTTTTGAACGAATTCAACAATTATAACGATAGACTACAATTTACATTAGAAAAAGAGGATAATCGGTGTATAAGCTTTTTGGACATAATGATCAAAGTAATAGATAATAAAATTTATTTAGATTGGTATCACAAAAAGACATTCTCAGGTAGATTACTTTCATTTTTTTCAAATCATCCGACTTGTCATAAAATAGGAACAATTTATAACTTGGTAGATAGAGCTTTATTACTATCACATCCGCAATTTCACAAAAAAATATAGAGAAAGCTATTAACATTTTGCTATCCAACGGTTATCCTCTTGATCTAATTTTCACAGAAATAAAACGCAGATTAAAAAATCTCTCAACTAAGAAATTTAACAAGCCTAATAATAACAATATAACAGATACTAATAATACTAATACTAGCATTAAATATTTTGTCATACCATATATAGAATCAATATCTGAGAAAGTTGCTTCAGCAATAAGAAGACCTGACGTAGTGGTAAGATATCGTTGCATTAAAAAATTGAATGACTTCATAAAAGTTCAAAAGGACAGAAATAATTGCTCCACGAATTCTAATGTTATTTATAAATTGAATTGCAACGATTGTGACGCCACATATGTCGGACAGACAAAAAGACAGTTAGGAACGAGACTTAAAGAACATAAAAATAATATTAAATTAGACTCTGCTAAACACTCGGTTGTCACGGAACACATTCTAAACGAACAACATACATTTGACTGGGACAATATTAAAATTATGGATCATGAAAAGAATTACCATAAAAGGCTAATATCTGAAATGATCCACATTAAAGAACAGAAAAATAGAATTAATTTAAATAAAGACACCGAATTGTTAGACAGTAGTTATTTTGACATACTTAAAAAATTTGCTGAATCATAGTTTAGAAAAAACATTGGTAATAAATAAATACATCACGCTCTCTATTTCGACATTTGTTATTCAGACTTCGCAACACACACTTGAAATATCGGGAAAAAGGACTTGTTAAAACGATAATGTAAGTTGAAAGATTTTTTAATTTTCTCTGACATTGATTTAATTCGCGTATTATATCCGCAGCATGTTTAAATGTCGCATAACTTGGCATCTCAGACCAATCGCCTTGCACATCTATTGGTCAACAGCGAAGAATCGTTTTAATTTTATATTTTAATATTTAACTAACTTTGTATTTTTAACATTTAACTTTGTATTTTAATATTTAACTTTTATGTATTGATAAAGACTGTAGTGCAGTCGAAACGTTTACAATTTATATCGTTTCTGTAACGGAATGTTAATTTAATTATTTAACTATTAATAAATTTTTACATCTTATTTATTTGCTCGTTCAGTTGGCTTACTATATTTGATTTGTTTAATTTTGTTAATTTATACGAGCCTTTCATTAATTAATTTTAAAATAGTATTTAATTGAACGATTTAATCAAGTTAAAAACTATTTTTTTTCAATGTACTAAATAAGTCGGATATTTCATATCTATTGTTGTTTTTCTCTCTCTCTCTCTGTTTTCTTCTATGCAAACGAGTAACACATCGTTGTAATATAAGATCATATGATCAGAACATAAAAATGTAAATTAAAATCATAAGGTTATATAACTACATTATGCATTAATGTAACTTAATTGATAAAAAATTATGACAATAATAATCCTTGTTTTTTTTCTTATTATTTACTCAGATTTTTTTGTCTATCTTATAAGATAAACACTTTAGAGATTGAATATTTCAAGTAAACTAATGTAAGTAAATTTCACATTAATGCATATAGATGTTTAATCACGAATGTACTAAATAAGTACACAAGACGAACAGTGAGTGAGTGAGTGAGAATGAGAGTGTGAGTGAGAGAGAGAGAGAGAGAGAGAGAGAGAGAGAGAGTTGCTGTTAATTAACGCGTCTAATAATTAATCTTATATCTAATAAAAAATGACTAAAGAAAGAAGAAAAAAAAGAAGAAAAAGATTTTTCTGGAGAAATTGATGAAACTGCGATGCTGCAAGCAGAAATTTATAATTTGCAGAAGCAACTGTCAGCTGTAATTGCAAATTCCTCCATTGCACCACAGACTTCCTCTACAGTCACATCATCTGCTCCGCAGACTACTTCTACGTCCATATTAGTTGCACCACAGACTACCTCTACAGCCACATTATCTGCTCCGCAAACTACTTCTACGTCCACATTAACTGCACCGCAGACTACCTCTACAGCCACATTATCTGCTCCGCAGACTACTTCTATGTCCACATTTGTTGCACCACAGACTACTTCTACGTCCACATCTGCCGCACCACAAACTGCCTCTGCATCTACATTGAAAGGACCATCTTCCACAGTAAATGATTTCAAAAAACGTCCACCAAGATTCTCGAAGGTTCTTTTCCACTATAAGAATAATAAAGAAATATAAAATATATTTATATATAATATATATATATATATATATATATATATAAATTCTACAAAAGAAGTAATGCCTAGATTACTATGAAAAGTTTTTTATTTATTAAAGTTCTTCATCTCTTACTTAAGATTTCTGATCTCCAATATATGCATTTCAAATTAATATAATTTATATTTGTTCAAATAATATTTATATTTCTAAAGAAAATTTGATGATATTTTGAAGTTTCTAACAATAAATAAAAATGATAAAATATACAATATTTTCCTATGTTTTTTTTTTATTTTTTGTATCTCCATTACCTATCAGCAAATGGAATATCGAATGTAGAATCCCATAAATTTTGGACCAAAGAACTGGGCATAATATGTCATCCTTGTTTGCATCTGTGGGACGGATTCTGCTTGTGGTTCTTCAATTAAATGATGATGCGGTATAGTTATTAAAATACTCCACCAAGTATACTTTCAATTCAACTGTCCATTTGATTGATCGAGTCATTCTAAGATCTTTCAGGATGACATTGCGAGGATAACGAGGGAAAAGTTGCTGAAACTAACAAAGAATATTTTTTTGCTATTTTCGCTATATAGCTAACTAATATATACAAATTTCTTTTTATGAATTGAAGCTTAAGTACCTGTCTTGCCATAGTATCCATTTGGGAATTAGTATGTGCCAATGTAGAGATGTTACCACATACTCTATTATGCGACACATCGACAGAAAAACTAGGCAACCAAGATACATATCTTGAGCCATCGAGGAAAAGAAAGAAATGATTGCCATTTCTTCTCGTAGAAGTCTGTGACTCAGGCGGTATTTTTGTATTCTCTCTGTGATTTGCTTGTATACTCAATCTGGTGTATCCTCTCTGTGATTTGCTTGCATACTCAAGGCCAATCGACAAGTGAGACATGGTGTCCTGTTCTAACCAGGATTGCAAGCATGAATTGTGAAATAAGTGTGCACAGGGCAACTTACGAGCGCTTTCCATCCTTTCCCAGCATATTACACAATTATCCATCCTTTCCCAGCATATTGCGCAATTATTTTATCAGAATTCTCGGCTAATTCCTTTTGTGAAGCCATTGAATAACTAAATGAAAAAGTTATCAAAAAAATCTTTAACAATTTGTTTTTTATATTATACATATAAAAATATAATAAAATAATTACCTGATTTTTATAAATTTCTTTTTCCATCACATATCACATCAAATCACATCATCACATCAAAATCAAAACACGTGCCTAGCCTAGCCAACATAACCCCGCACGCTGCCAATAATGGCGGAGCGCCACTATCGCCGTCTGTTGTAAAATGTGAGGACTGGACATTTCCAATACATGCATCTATTGCAGTGTTGTGTACGTGTGATATATGTGTGCGCATGTGTTGTATACGTGTGAATACGTGTAGCACGATACTACTATGTATGCGTGGTCGATGAATCAAGAGACACGGTAGTGTCTCGCGACCAGGGCGTAGCCGAGACACCGTGTATCTTAACGCGAGTCGGACATTTGAGTCTATTATAAATTTCGAATCCTCAATAACGGCTGAAGCAATCGAGTTTATACTAGACTTAATCGATAGATTGAGTTCGAATTATATAATAAAAGTGTCTTTATTTCTGCTCTACGTGATTTGTAAGCAGAGATATATAAATGCAAAGTCGAAATATGAAAAATTTCTTTTAAGAAACGTCCCCGTCATCATTATTATTATCATCATCATCGACCACGCATACATAGTAGTATCGTGCTACACGTATTCACACGTATACAACACATGCGCACACGTATATCACACGTACACAACACATGCAATAGATGCATGTATTGGAAATGGCCAGTTCTCACGTTTTACAACAGACGGCAATAGTGGCACTCCGCTATATTGGCAGCGTGCGGGGTTATGTTGGCTAGGCTAGGCACGTGTTTTGATTTTGATTTTGATGTGATGATGTGATTTGATGTGATATGTGATGGAAAAAGGAATTTATAAAAATCAGGAAATTATTTTATTATATTTTTATATGTATAATATAAAAAACAAATTGTTAAAGATTTTTTTGATAACTTTTTCATTTAGTTATCCAATGGCTTCACAAGAGGAATTAGCCGAGAATTCTGATAAAATAATTGCGCAATATGCTGGGAAAGGATGGAAAGCGCTCGTAAGTTGCCCTGTGCACACTTATTTCACAATTCATGCTTGCAATCCTGGTTAGAACAGGACACCATGTCTCACTTGTCGATTGGCCTTGAGTATGCAAGCAAATCACAGAGAGGATACACCAGATTGAGTATACAAGCAAATCACAGAAAGAATACAGAAATATCGCCTGAGTCACAGACTTCTACGAGAAGAAATAGCAATTATTTCTTTCTTTTCTTCGATGGCTCAAGATATGTATCTTGGTTGCCTAGTTTTTCTGTCGATGTGTCATTGGGCAAATGATATATTCAAAGAACTACGTGTGAGGAATATGTACGTATTTATATATTGTACTGCTATATTTTTATAATGAATCGCACGTATAATTAGTTTCGTGATAGTAGCTAATATGTGCAAGTTAATTGTTATATCCAAAAGTTGATACAATCCCCAGCAAACACTAAGTAACAATTATATAACTATTATAATTTCCCATTCAACAATGTAAATGCAATATAACACGCCTGTTGATATTTTATTTCAGGTATAAATTTTGCAAATAATTATTCTATGTAAACAAACAAAACAAAAATATTTATTATTAAAAACTTAACAAAAATCATGCATATAAAGCGCATGTGCAAACTGAAGACTAGAAATCTATCCTTGTGATAAAAGAAACATATCATGTTAGACAAGACTGTGTGATTAACAGATTATTATCAGAAAGTAACAAAAAGACCGCTAATTTTTAGGCATGTACAAAAGATAGCATTAGATAAGATGTGTATTATATCTGACCAATCAATTAATATTTTTTCTGCAATATCAAAAAAATATCAATTTTTTACACGATAAACTTTGCAAAATCTAAAAATGTACATTTTTAGGGGTAGATCAAAGAGTTTAAAACAATTTTTAATTACATTTTTTCAAATACTATTTTGTATTTCCCAATGATAAACATATGTGATAAATACTCAATGATAAATTTTGACAGCATTTAGTTATTTAGATTAAATCTCTTTATGTCAATTTAATTAAACGTATCTTTATACATATACATATATACGTTATCTTAATATCTATCAAATTGTTTCCATATATAAATGGAATAAAAATAACAGTATAGAGAAGAGTATATATCTCTTTCCTTAATCGTGAACATTTTTTTCAACACAATCATCGTTTATAAACAACGAAATAAAAAAAGTGATTTGTATTTTGGCATTACTCTGCGCAGTTTATGTAAGTTCTGTAAATTCAGTGTAATCATTTCTTTTGACTAAAAAAAGAAACAAATAATTTAATTCAATCATTTTAAAATAAGACAAATCAAATAAAAAAAAATTGCCATGTTTAATTAGTAAACTAAAAATCTTTTTCAGAAATTATGATGTATTAATAGAAATATCACATATAAAAATCAATTTTGTAGCTTTAATTTGACCTATTTATAAAAATTGTTTAAAATTTATTTTTAAATTTAAATTCTTTATGCAATATCTTTAGAAAAGTCAAATTATTATTTTTACATGATATTTTAATAATGAAACTTTTATCTCGCATCTTCAAGACGTCGGAGCAAGATGTGACGAAACCCTTGGTGAACTTTGAAGAATGGGTGAATATTTACAAAAAAATATCGAAGCTATTCTTAAGGATATTTCACTTTTCAAAAAAGCAAATAAAGCAGATTCTACAAGTCAAACTCAATGATCTGAGGACTCGGACTTTGTTTAAAGTTAATAATATTCTCAATTCAACATTCGAGAATATCAAGGTGCATATTTTGTCTAGATAATGAGAAGACAAATGCATGTGTTATATCATAAAATATAAATGTTTTAAATTATAATGAAACATTGAAAACTTGCATTTATTTTTAGAATAGATTTTTATGAAAAATATGTTCAATTATTCACATATGACAACAAAAATACATTTGCATATTTATTATCTTTTCAGTTATCTATCGAGAAGGCGAAAAAAGAAGGTAAAAAAATTAATGAATGTTATAATTATGCAAAACATAATTTGGAAACGAGGAAAGACAATACAATTGCTGAATTGGAGACGTACATCCAATATGGAAATAAGACTATGGAAGCCCCATTAAAGAACGTGGCAAACAATATTAAGGTAACTATTTATTTTAATACGTAAACGTATATATTTAGAATTATAGTGAAATATTGATTTTATTAATTTTAATTAATTTCAATCAACTTGTGACGACCCGATTAGCCGTCACTAGCCATCCGCGCTCATGTAAACGGCCCCTTTCGGGGCCATTACAAGAACACGTTGGGAATCCGCCTTTTCGCCCCCAACCGTCACTCGACCCCCTCCAAGCGAGTCTTAGAGTGGGGTGGCCCGCCGGGTATAAAGAGCGGCGCAGCCGAGGCTTCGGCACCAGTCCCGTCCTGGTCCCTCGAGCGTACTCAGGGATCACTCCTCAACTCCGACACTCCAAGTCACCCCGGCCGACGAGCGTTCTCGTCGTGCAGGCCGAGCGTTCTCGGTCACCGGGTCCTGTCCGTAAGTCCCCCGGCCGACGAGCGTTCTCGTCGAGTAGGCCGAGAGTTCTCGATCACCGGGTCCTACCCGGAAGTCACCGGCGCTCGACGGAGTTCGCCCTTCTCAGGGCGCCCGTACGCGTGGCCGCGTTGGAAACTTTAGTTATAAGTCGTGTCCGCGTCCGCATAACTTGGTCGTGTCTCGTCTGTGATAATTATAGCCATAAGTCGTGTCCGCGTCCGTATAATCTGGTCGCGTCTCGTCCGTAATATTTCTATCTGTCAATACTAGCAATAAGTCGTGTCCGCGTCCGCATAACTTG